GCATTACAATGTTTGCAATGTTACAGCATTAGATATAACATCCCAATTACATAACAAATGAACATTTTCTAAAGCACAACGCATATTATTATACACATGTTTATAACAATGTTTGTACTGGAACATTTCTTTCAGCTTGCCAAGATTTGGGCATCCTATTTCATGTAGATCGGTAATGGGATTAGTGATGAATCTTTCCAACCACTGTTTCTTCGGGCGTCCCTTGACAAATATTGGTTGATCCTGAACATGTTCTTTGATGAACGATGCCAACTATTCATAATGAAGACATGACTCTTCAGAAGGAGATAAATTCCAAGGAATTCCATGTAAATTGTCTACAGTCCAGTTGATCTGTGACTGTGTGCTCTTGTTGAGCATTGTAAATTCTACGGGTAGATTAACTAATTTTTGTTGCCAATATCCCGTTGCTGTATTAATGATAGCAATTTCTTTGCAAATAAAGTTGGAGCCACAAGTAAACCCTTGAACGTCAATAATGATCTTTTTTTTTTTGTGGACTATCGAATGCAAACGCTGTACAAGAAGACTGAACATGAATTGAGATTGTTTATTAGACGATATTCTTTTTATGTACCCAGCTGTCATGTTGCTTATCGAATCCTAACCATCTGACCTTGATATTGTCTCCTTTTTTTTCCAATATTTTTTCTACAAGATAAACATCAGAATGTTTTACCTTTTGCAGTTGTTCTGTATAAAACCCACCTAAAATATTTTGATTATTTTCATCTTTCAACAAATATGTTATTGGGTTAGTCAGTGTTACTTTTCGTATTGTGAAAATTTCAGGCGACCAATTTGGCTGATATTTCTTATCAAAAACACCTCTTATTTTAGAAATGCGTACATAATCACCCACTTTGGATTTCGTTTTTAAGTTTACCGTTTTCAAGCGATTAAATACAGTAGATAATAGTTTTTTTTTCATTCTTTTTTGTAACATCAGCTAGCTTCATTTGTATAGTTCTATGCTTCTTATTGTTGTATCGTTCTACCAGTTGTGGTAAAATACTTATCCATTTATAATTTCCCTGCAGACTAAATTCTTTCCACATCATATTTTTTAAAGTTCGATTCACTCTTTCCATAATGGCTGCCTTCTTTTCGCTGAATGTATGATAGTGATTTATATTATGTCTCTTTATTAGGTTTTTAAAATCATGATTGAAAAAATCCAGTCCCGCGTCTGTTTGTAGATTTTTACCTGTTTTATTTTGTAAAGGTAGAGCCCAAAGAAATTTAGAAAAGCAATTTATCACAACTAGTATAATATTTGTTGTCTTTATTTTCACAAGAGTATGGTATCATTTCTACAAGATCTGCTTGGAAAAGGTCGTTTAGAGATTTCAAAACGGTTCGTCTTCTTTGGAAATTTATACGTGCAGGTTTGTGTAGTTCTTCAACGACTTGACGTTTTATGTTTGTTTTAAATGTTTTAACCATTATTCAATATATTGACTTTCCATTAATTCCTCAACTATTGAATTGATCTCATTAACATGACCCGAGTGACCAGCAGCTCTTGATGCAATCAACAAGCGTAGACGACTTACAAGTTCATTTGGATCATCTCAGTATATATAATCTTTATCATTGCTAGAATATTCCATTTTCGTGGCCATATTTTTATTGTTCATTATTCCATAACCCATTTTTAAAGGAGGTGCTATAATTTTTTTATATTTTTGTAGCTTACTCCCATCCAGTTGAGTATTAGATCTGTAGTACCTCCTGTGGGCATTAGTTTTATATACAATTTGCCTGTAGGTGTTGACATCGTCAGAGCTGCAGAAATCCATGTTCGGATATTTTCTAAATAACAATTCGTATAAACCTTGACTGCCCTTGTACCGTTTACCTTTTCACATATATATCAGCTCCCATAAAGTCTAATTTAGAATCACCAATCATAAATTTTTCGATGGTTTCATCGAGCCTGACACCATACTTATGATCAAATTCTCGATTATTTTTGTCTGCATATATTTCACTGATGTATCTTCTAGGTAACGGGTCATCATATTGTTCTAAGTAATCATTGAATGACTTTTCTGCAATATCATCAAATCTGTTTTTATCAGAAGCAGCAGCAGCAGCAGCAGTATCAACAACATTATCATTCCCCGATCCAGTAGAATCATTGTCTTCATAGTCAGAATTTATACCGTCTATGATGGATCTTTTTATACTACTTGGTGGATCCTCATCATCATCATCATCATTAACATCATAATCGGAGTGTTCCTCACTTTTAGAAATTGTCCTCTTTCTGGGTGTCGCTGATTTAAATACTAATTTCCTTTTACGTGATTCAGACAGAGCTGTAGGAGTTGTCCATAATACCTTGTCATTGGATGTGTCCAGGTATACTTCTTGTTTTGCTTGAGGCCTTATAGCAGCTTCAGCTACTTGAGAAGAAACTGAGGTACCAGGAGGAGGATGAGGAGGAGGAGGAGGTACGGTGTTGGCACTAGTATAATTTTGGAGTTTAGATTCGATACTTTTTAAATGTTTTGTGATAGGATTGTACAAGGCTTCTTGTAACATTTCCCCATGTTTCAGTTGATGTAATTTTCTTCGAACGTTTTGACGCTTCAATATAAGTCTCTCTTTGAGACGACTTCTAGTGAATAGTTTATCCATAATCATAATCCTATCATCAGGTAATCAGATTACGATCAGGTGGTAAACAGCGTGCGATCAGGTGATGATCAGGATTTGATCAGTTGTCAGTCTTTTCTGAACGTATCGGACAAAGATCTATCCGTATAAATAAAATGATCTATACCCTTCCTATATGGACCGTTGTCAGTGTTACAGTCTGTGAATATGGTCACAAAATCATATGAATTTTCCCAACATACTGTGCATATACGTTTCAAATCATCAAATGGCATATCAGAACCCACGTGATCATTATATATATATATATATATATATATGTTTTAAATTTAAATCATCCTGTTTTAAAAGTACAGGGTTCGGCAATGAAACGGGAAGATTTCGTAAATAATTTTATTATCGAAAAAATATTTTTTTTGTACTTAGTAATACCATACTGGGAAATAAAAGAGTAGCCATTTGATATACAATGTTAAAAAACATTATTTTTTGAAAATTACATCTGTCAAATGGCCTCCGTTGACACGTATGCATTCATGGAGTCGAGCCTGGAAGTTCTGCATAACTCTTCGCAGCATATCAACAGGTATTGCTGCAATCTCGTCACGAATTCGTTGTTTGAGGGCCGGGATTGTCCTGGGTGGATCAGTTTCAAACACTTTCATTTTCAGATAACCCCATAAAAAGGAGTCGCAGACAGTAAGATCGGAAGACCGAGGGGGCCAAGCAATATCCCCGTTTCGAGAAACGACACGCCCTGGGAACAAAGCATTCACCGCATTCATCGAAATTCTTGCAGTGTGGCTTGTTGCATCGTCTTGTTGAAAAAGTGTGTGTTCATTAACTGGAAAGCGTTAGAGTTCAGGTGTGAGGAAGTTCCGAATCATTGAAACGTATCTCTCAGAATTAACGGTAACGGCATTTTCAGCCTCATCCTCAAAAAAATACGGACCGATGATTCCATTTGCAGACGTTGTACACCATACTGTCACTTTCTGAGCATGAAGAGGTGATTCATGAAGCATACGAGGGTTAGCCTCCGCCCAGTATCTAAAATTTTGTCTGTTAACAAAACCGGAGAGGTGAAAATGTGCCTCATCGCTCATCCACAAGTTGTTAACCTGGTCATCAATTTCTTCCAGCCTTGCAAGCATAACCTCACAAAATCTGAGACGCTGTTGATAATCATCCGGGTGAAGAGATTGAACAACCTGTATTCTATACGGGTGATATCGAAGATCTTGATGGAGAATCCTTCTTACCGATCTGTCACTTAATCGAAGGCGTGTGGCGTGACGGATGGCCGATCGACGTGGACTTTTTAAAATGGCTTGTCGAACACGTTCAATATTTTCAGGCACGTTCTGGCACTACCACCTCTTTCTCTAGACGTCGATCCAGTTTGCTCGAGGTTGTTTAGCCACATTCGAATCGCATGGTCTGACGGAACCGGTTGGTTACGCGGTATGTTAAAATGCCGTCTAAAATCTCGACGCGTTTGCACTAAACTCTCGCCATTTTGGTAATAAGCCTTAATTGCGTAACCGCGATGCTCACCCGTCCAACGCTCCATTGTAGACTAAATGGCAAGCCACTCGGGTCCCGACAGGTCTGTGACTCTCCTCCCTACCATTTCACCACCCGCTGCAAGCCCCACCCCAAATCTTCCCGTTTCAATGCCGGACCGTGTATAAGGATATTTGCATTATCCCTTACTAGATGTTTAGGTATTTTTGCATATGTTTGACACAAGTAGAAAGAATCTATACTGTTATGACGTCCCATACTGAAATATTCTCTGATAACATCCTGATTATCGCATGCGACATCATCAAAAATAGATATGGAATTTGGTTTGGCATCTGAAGGGTGTAAAATGTTGTCACTCGCATTGAATGGAAAATATTTTATACCTTTTATAGGTGTTAACAATTCTGCCAGATATTTATATTTTGGTTGATACAAAGACTTTGAATACACATAAACATTTTCAAATTTTAACCCGTTTTCATGTTCAATCAAATTGATCATGAGATTTGTTTTTCCACAATTAGAAGGTCCAACTATAAGACATCGCAACGTTGAAGGAAACAGCACACCATGTTTGATTTGGACAAACGTATCCTTGAATACATCACTGTTATCAATATCTAAGGTTGTTTTTTGCTTAACAATTTTCATATCGTTCTAATAGTACTGCGCTGCTGCAATAATGAAACTGATTACAAAGAAGGAATGTATGCATTTTTCAAGCTATCTTTAAATGATAGAAAATTGAAGGAAGGGGGGAGAAAGAAAGAAAGAGGATATGATATTTTTTTCAAAAAAAAGGTCTTTATTCATTTTTTTGCCAATCAGTAGCCAGGTAACCAGTCTGTTCTTTTTTCTTGGATGCCGGGTCTTGCTTGGAAACACACAGGACAATATCTAACAAATACATTCTGTGGTCTCCAGTCGACTTCCAAGGTAGCCGCTGCCGCTGGTCGCTCCTTTATAATTTTTCCGCAAACACCACATTTGGTCACCTCGATGACGTGTGCCACAAAGAATGAGCAGGTTTTCTTCTTAGAGTCCTTTTTAGAGTAAATATGTTTACGAATCCACCCTGTATCTCGCTTGGACATCCTCTCTCTCTCTCTCTCTGTTACACGCTGTCGATGTCTGTTCTTTTTACGACTTGGGAATTTTCTCGTAACAATACAGATCCACTTGTTGGTGATCTGATGTTGTTGTTGTTGTTGTCGTTTGCCTTACTGGATGGATCGTTACTGATTCTCTACAAAAACAAAAGTAATGTTTACAATTGTCACAGAAATTACTCCCTTCTGTTGTGTCGTCGTCGTCGTCATCGTAGTGTCTCTTAGAAATCGTAGTTAGTCGTATTCGTTTGCTGGGTTTCGTGTTTTGAATGTTTTGGAATCGTTTATTGCTTGAGTTTAGAACATTCTAGAAAAATAAAAAAATAAAAAAAATATTACATGTATACTTACATTCAAAGCTTATTGTGGCTAAAAGAGTTAACTTGGTTGTAGATTAGTTTTATGGACAAAATTAAAGAAGAAATCAAAAGTAATCATGATATCCCCATGGTTTTGTGTCTGTATAAATATAATTGACAATTCTTTTATCGTCATATGGACTCAATGCAATTTTTTGTTGGGAAATTGTGAATACATTGTGATGTTTCGAAATTATGGATTGCTGTGTTACAGCTACTTGAGTGTTTTGGAATAAACATTTATGGTAATCATCAAACGTTATTTCCTTCAAAGCTGACTTTTGAATTCCTTTCGCTTTTTTAATAACATGAGAGTCCTTGTTGTTGTTGTTACCTGACTCAGGCAAAGTTCTCAAAGCATACATTTTTGAACGCAACCCAATAAAGTGTGTCATGATTCGACCTTGATTTTCATCTTTCATTAACCCTATAACTTTTTTGTTTTTCAATGGAATTCCAAAAACGTTGTTTGCTGGATAATCGGACGTATCGAATCTATCAATGTCTTCTTTGATGTGTTTGTAAATGTCATCAATATTCGAGAACTGATATATTAAACTATCTGTATCAGTATATAGTAGTTTTGAATCATCTTTGAATTTGTGTTTAATATAATTGCAATGAAAATCATATATGTAAGTTTTAGATATGTCCAATATCGACATACCAATGAAAATTGGTTTGTTTAATGTAGCTTTCAGTTTGTTCATTTCAATTATGACCATATCTTTATCAAATATAGTGCAGCTATGAAAGTTAGGTTGTGCAATATAGTATTTTGCACCGTATCTTCCTGACCACTTAGTAACCAATTTTATGTCTTTATATTTCCTAACATTTTCAATCGTTTTACCATAAGGGGCATTATTCATTAATTTGAAAAAAAATTTCTCGAAATCATTTGTACTTTGCTTTCTGAGCTCTGTATTAAGATCAATGTATTTTTTTAACCAAGTTGACTGTCTAAATTTTAAACAACGATGAACTTTCCTAATGACAAGTCCCAACTGCTTAGCTTGTTTCAGTAATGCATAATGTACTACATACTTTTGTTTATCGTACAAAGTTGTTAACAATTTTGGTTTATCAGAATACGAAGTAGGTGGTACTAAGTGCTCAGGACACAATGGTAGATCTTTATGTAAATCGCGTAAATGGAGAGGATAGTGTAGATCAACTTCTAGGATGTATCCGTATTCGTTTTCATCAGCACTCAAAATATTTTCAATAGAGATGTTATCATCTGGAACCCATTGAAAATCCCCATATGGTAACGAATGTGACATTGCAGCTCCATATAAATTATTTACATCATAGTACATCAAAAACGAAGTTGGTAAATCAGGATTATATTCACTATTCATGAATTTATTGTTAGCCTCACCGTACCTGTTAGAACATTGCAATATACCTCCTCTGATACCTTTTTCTATGAATAAAGCCATATCACTGTCAGTCAACAGTTCTAATTCAACATTAGTGACTTTAAGCATGGCATCAAAAGCTAGACCTGGCGTAGTAAAATAGTGTAATGCATCTAAATTGTATGTGCGCAAACACATATGACGGAAATTTTCGAAAACATCACAAAGCAGCAAAACATCAGTTTTCAAGTATAATTCAGCGTATTCCTGAAGATTTTTGATATTAAATGCTTGCCGAACATTCAGTGCATGCTGATAGTCATCATTCGAAATAGCTTCGTTTTTGACAGTACTAAAAAAATCATCTTTTTGTGGTAACCGTGTCTCTTTTAATTTCTCCCACGAATTTAGATATTCATATGGAAAAACTCCTTTCCTTATTACCAACTTAAACTTATTATCGTCAGGAAAATGTTCCTTGACTATTTTCGTTTGATGATGATCTAGATATGAGGATAACTTGTCCAGACTACTAGGTAGGAACCGGAAAGAATCAAGAAACCGAAAACTGATGTTAGTACCGGCAATGTATTTTGTAAACGAAATATAACGCTCTTTATTCAAAGGTAATAAATTGAGATTTTCTTCAATATTGGTGCTGAGAGCTCTGATTATAAAATGTGCATCGTATCCAGAAAAATTGTGGAACAACACAGGTACAGTACGTGAGTTCCAATAGTTTACGTTACAAGACATATGAGCTGCTCCCCTATATTTACCTGTTAAGTGACAAAGACCTTTAACTCTCGTTTTCATCAAAAGGTTTCTCAGAAATACTACAACTGGAAGTCAAACGAAAACCTTTCGCCTCATCACTGCTTAGATCTATAGGTTCGCATGTCTGATAAACTTTATGAAGTTCTTTAGCAATGTTGAGCAATTCATTGACAAACCAATTTTGACAATCAGCACCCGTATGCAATCTAAATTTGGAAGGATATATATTTTCGTTATTCGATTTAAGATAGTAAGCTACACTGAAAGCCACATGCTTTTGAAACTTTTGTGTTTTATTTGTTCCATTGTCATCATCCTCATAATTCATAAGTATGCTTTCAATATCTGCGTAAATGACAAAATGAACACATAATTTATTCCTAAAGTTTTTAAATTTCATAATATTATTAGTTTCATTAGGCATAACGACCTTAGTGCTGTTAAGCTGCTTACAATCTTCAGAATGTTTTCTCAAATGATGTTCACTTTAGACACCTTTCACAAATCCATTTTTTGTGATCTTTCCAACCTATTTGTCTACTTATTAGGCGTGACAAATTTTTTATATACGCAAAATTATAAATAGTGTCAGCATTCTAATTGTAACTATCATTATTGCAAAACATAAGTAAATTGATTCTAGGCGTGAAATTAGTTTTACTGAGTATCAATGGTACAACTTCATTCATTCGATTGCCTACGAGTGTGAATACATTTATTGCTAGGTTATTCATAATCTCAAACTTGGGTATATCTTTCAAACGTATAGGAAAGCTGATATTTTCGTATTTCAATACTGTACTGAAATGAGGATATGATGATTGGCGGGCTACATTTTTTCTACAGGATACAAGGCGCTTACAACTGACCACAAAAAACAATAATTATCATTATTTTTAATATTAATTACACTTTTTGACTTTTGTATAAATTTTGGTGAGGGAACATAAGTTGAAACACCAACATTTATGGGGCAATATCTATTAATATTCACTTTTAAATGCAAAATTTCTAATAAGGCCCATCCAGAATCACGCTGTTGGAACTCTTCTAATTTTCTCAAAACTTGATCAGTGACATGAACTTTAACCACTCTTTTAAATTGGTATTTCTATCAATTATATGACTTTTTGTAATAAAATGTTTGATCGATCTTTCAGCAGTCTGAGGCTTAATGAACAAACTATAAAAAATAACGTTCGATTTTAACATACAAATATCAAGCTGTTTTCTTATTTGTAACGCAAAACTTCTGAATGCTCTCTTGAAAAATAATTTTGGATCTTTTATTTTCAAATTAACTATAACACCTGACTTAATTCTATTCTTAAAGCATGAATCCACATTTGCCCAAACAAGCTCTCTATTTTGGCTTTTACGATTTTTTTTATATTTGAAGTTTTCAAGGTAAGCCTTGAGAAGTGACAAATTAGACTCTATTCTTGAAAAATTCTTAACACAATCAAACTTATGTTTGATACACTTATTAGGCGCTCTAATACATTTTTGTATTGTGTGTGTGTGCGTGTGCGCGTGCGTGCGTGCGTGTGCGCGTGTGTGCGCGTGTGTGTGTGTGGGTGCGCGTGCGTGCGCGCGCGTGTATGCGCTCGTGTGCGCGCGTGTGTGCGCGTGTGTGCGCGCGTGTGTGTGCGCGCATGTGTGTGTGTGTGTGTGTGTGAGTGTGTGTGTGTGTGTGTGTGTGTGTGTGTGTGTGTATGTGTGCGTGAGTGCGTGCGTGCGTGCGTGCGTGCGTGCGTGCGTGTGGATACTTGCGTGCGTGCGTGTGCGTGTGTGTGTGTGTGTGTGTGTGTATGACTATATTTTATGGAAGCAAACAGTCAGCTTGCAATTGATATGGATGTTTGTTTTTTTCGTAGAAGATCTGTATAAATTGCTAGTGTGTAAGTAGTTAGTATCAGAGTTACAAGTGGTGGTGATCAAGACGTATAATGACAACAACACCAACAACTCTCATCGTCTTCACGGAAGATCCTGTGAATTTACCAATTAATGATCTGTTATTGGTAATGAAGGAATTGTTTCAGTAAGTAACTTTATATATTTCTCTTTGGTCTCTCTCTCTCTCAATACTGATTTGCTTTTGCTATTGTGTCATTATTGTTGTGTGTTATCTTTCCAATTCCTTATTCTAGGGGACTTTTTTTTTATTTATTATGTATTTTTTTTTCAACGGTGCCTAGCATACATATTTAGATACGTATTAACAATCAACCTAAAACTAGTATTCCTAATGTGTTTTCACCGCTTTTTGGTAATGTCACTTACCTTGGTAGTGATTGGGTATTAATTAATAATAATAATAATTAATCTTTTTTTTTCTTCTTCAGATACGGTGTCAGGGAGATCAAAGCGAGCGGTCACAAAATCTTCGTAAAATTAACATACTCACCAAGAGCAGCAACATTAAAACGAAAATTCGGTTTGCTGCCAATCAAATATTTGAAGACCAAATTAGATAAGAAGG